TATGCAGTTCAGGCTGGCCTTGATCTCACTTTTAGCCCAGACTAGTCTTAAACTCATGAGATCCTCCTACCTCAGCCTGCTGAGTGCTGGGATTATAGGCATGCATCACCATACCAGGCCTAGTATGAGGTTTTTTCAACAGACAGTATTAAATAAATAAATAAATAAATAAAGTGGAGATTAGCTCAGTGCAAAGACCACACACACACACACACACACACACACACACACAAACACTAATAAAATATTACACATTGAAATCCCCCAAAGGTGAAGCCGGCTGGGAGGGTAAGAGGTGAAACAGGAAGCACAAGGATTGCAGTATGCTACGCACGGGTACAGAATGAAGCCCGCTACCCTATACGGCCAGTGTGTACCAGTAAAAAAAAAAAAGAGGTAAAACAACAACAAAGGTTTTTCTGTAAAAACTAATAATCCACCGCGGGCAAAGGCCATGAACAGGCAGTTAGCCCCCAGGAGGGGTAAGGAGAGCACAGGAAGGGATGTCCACCTGCTGGGAAGTACCAGATAGCTACGGTGCTTTGTAGTGCTCTACTGTTCATTGATAAAACTTGGCTGGAAAAGGACGAGTGTTGGCCAGGATGTGGGGAAACCTGTGCCTCGTTGGTGGCCGCACTTTGGAGCAGACAGCAAGCTGAAGCTACCAGACAATAAGCATGCATGCACACACAAAAATAAATAAATAAAGCGTGCACACACCTGAGATGCAGTAACTTCAAGGACACTTTTGCATGGATCCACAGCTGGGTAAGTACAAAGATGTTCTCTGGAACAGTGTTTCTAATGGCAAGAAGTTGGAAGCCAGAGCCGGTCAAATAGCTCAGTGGATTAAAATGCCTGCTTAGGTAGAGCACAGCGGCCAGGGTTTAATCCCTGGCATACCATGCCAGGCCCACCCTCAGGGCATGCTGAGAGGTTGATTGAGACTGGGCGTGGTGGTTTGTGCCTGCAATCCCCGCTCTTGGGAGGCTGAACACAGGTGTATCACTGCGAGTCGGATCTACATAGTGAGACCCTGTAGACTCTTACTAAAATACAACAACAAAGAAGGAGGAGGAGGAGGAGGAAGAGAAAGAGGAAGAGGAGGAAGAAGAAAGAAGAAGAAGAAGAAGAAGAAGAAGAAGAAGAAGAAGAAGAAGAAGAAGAAGAAGAAGAAGAAGAAGATGATGAAGTTGGAGGCCACCTAAGCATCCATCAAGAATGGTACAGGGGGTGCCGGGAAGATGGCTCAGTAGAATAAGCACTTGCATGGCAAGTACAAGAGCATGAATTCAATCCCCAGTTCCGAAAAAAAAAAAAAAAAAAAAAAAGAAAGAAAGAAAAAAGAAAAAAAAAGAATGGTACAGGAAGAAGAAGGAAGAAAGAAGTTAAAAAGTACACCACCCCGTGAAGAAAAGGAAGGTTTTCCCAGGGATCCCACCCATCAAACTTCTGTCAGCAAAATTGCACTACACAATCACACCTCAATAAAGGCTGGTGAGAAAGAACAGAAGCAGTGGACTAGTGTTTGACAGCATCCAGGATTCCAGAATCCACACTGACATTTCACTGTGGTGCCCAGGTATGGGTAAAGAAGAGGATGCCAGGGAAGAAAACCCTGACATCAAATTGCCTGACACCAACAGCTTGTTTTTATCCCAGAACCTTTTATCTTGTGTAAAAAGAAATAAACCGGGGCCGGGAGATGGCTCAGTGGAATAAATGCTTTCCTGGCAAGCACAGGGCCTGAGTTCAATCCCCGGTTCCGAGGGAAAAAAGAAGGAAGGAAGGAAGGAAGGAAGGAAGGAAGGAAGGAAGGAAGGAAAGAAAGAAAGAAAGAGAGAGAGAGAGAGAAACCCTTATTTCTTAGTCATATGCATCAGTTAAAGATCAGTTGCAAACAATAAAAACAAATCTGGTTAGTTGCAACACAAAGAGTTGGAAATGTAGGCTCTAGGTCAGGAGCAACGCCAAGCTTCGAGTGTCACATGAACTTCTGCTGTGACTGAAAAAACAAGTCAGCACTGCCGGAGGCTGATGAACCAGGAAGCTGCTCCAGAGCTGGCCTGGTCTGTGACAGCAAAGTGGATGTCCCATGCTTTGTTTCCAATTTATGTCTTACGCAAAGGCAGGACCTAAGCCACAGATTCTTAGCTCAAGGAAACCAGGAAGTGCTGTTTAGCTTTCCAGCTTTTGTGTTTCGGAAGAAACCCTAAAAGCTCCACTGGACTCAGCTTGAGCCGTAGGTCTGTTACAGACACCACGCTACCAAGGTCCGCGACCGCCTACTCACAGCCAGACGCGCTCCTCACTGCTCACCACGCAGGAAGCCACGAGGATGGGTCTTCAACACACAGTACTGAGGGAACAAACCCTAACAGAAGGAGCTCTATAGCACAGTTGATAACAAGTTGGTTTAAAGCACAGGAGCCGGCCAGATAGCTCAGCAGACTAAAGAGCCTGCTTAGGCCGAGTGCAGGAGCCGGGGTTCGATCCGGGGCAGGCTGATTGAGACTGGGTGTGGTGGTGTGAGCCAGTAATCCCAGTGTTTGGGAGGCTGAAAACAAGAGGATCCGTACGTGTCTGATCTGTGTAGTGAGACCCTGTTAGTTACAAAAAAAAAAAAAAAAAAAAAAGACCAACCTGAGCTACATAGTGAGAACCTGTCAGAAAAGAAAAAGAATATATACAAATCAACACTACCTTTTTTGATGGAATGTATATTTTTAAGGATATATAAAGGATCACTGATAAAGAGAAAGGGGTGTGGGCATCAAGGATAAAAGAAAAATAAAATTGGGCCGGGGAGATGGCTCAGTAGAATAAACACTTCCCTGGCAAGTGCAAGGGCCCGAGTTCAATCCCCAGTTCCACCAAAAAAAAAAAAAAAAAAAAAAAAAAAAAAAAAAAAAAAAAAAAAAAAAAAAAAAAAAAAAAAAAAAAAAAAAAAAAAACAAAAAACGAATAAACCAGGCATGGTGCCATACACCTGTAATCCTAGCACTCAGTAGGCTGAGGCAAGAGGATTGTAAATTTGAAACCAGCCTCGGCTGCCATAGCAAGGTCAAAGCCAGCTGGAGCAGAGAATGAAGATATACCCTTCCCCCCACCACCAAGGATTGAATTTGGGACTTTACGCTTGCCAGTGGACTACAGAATGAGATACTATCTCAAAAACCAAACCAGGGGTCAGGGACTTTATGCTTGCCAGTGGACTACAGAATGAGATACTATCTCAAAAACCAAACCAGGGGTCAGGGAGATGGCTCAGTAGAATAAACACTTCCCTGGCAAGTGCAAGGGCCTGAGTTCAATCCCCAGTTTGGCAACAACAACAACAACAACAAACAAACAAACAAACAAAAAACCCCAACAGCAACAACAAAACTCAACCTAGGGGCCTGGGAGATAAGCGCTTCCCTGGCAAGTGAGTTCAATCCCTGGTTCTGAAAAAAAAAACAAAAAAAACCCCTCAACCTAAAAGTAATGTAAATGAAGTAATGTGATTTGCTCAAATTTCCATATCTTGGGTCGATTTCATTAGATTTAATATTAATCTTAAAACAGTCTATTATTGGGCTGGGGAGATAGCTCAGTGGCCTAAGTGTAGCAAGCACAAGGTCTAGCATTTTATCCCCAGCCCCTCCCAAAAAAGGAGATCTATTATTAATGGTTTAATTCAAATATTTCATATTTAATTACCACACCAAAACTAATCCGTTAAATTGAATACATCATAATTTCTAGACCTTTTTTGGCTTTTTGAGACAGGGCTTCACTATATAATTCAGGCTGACCTTGAACTCACTATGTAGCCCAGGGTAGCCTCAAACTCATGGGGATCCCCCTGCCTCAGCCTCCTGAGTGCTGGGATTACAGGTGAGCATCACCACACAGCAAATTTCTAGACTTTTATTTTATTTTATTTTATTTTTATTTATTTGTGGCCAGCTCAGCCCACCCTGGGGGCAGGGCTGGCCCGGCATGTGGGAGCGGGGTGAAGTCCCTGTGCACTTGCCTAAGCTTGCTTAAGCAGGCACTTTAGACCACTGAGCTATCTTGCCATCTAGACTTCTAAATTGACAATTTATGCTTTGATTTCCTAGAACTTTAAAAAGTAGATTCAGATGGCCTCTGGAAGCCCCTGGCTGGTAGTCATCCTTCAAGTTCCAACCCCATTTAATGAGATTCCTGCGCTCTCACTCTCTGCCTCTGCCTCTGTCTCCTCCCCAAGCCCTGCTCCACCCCAGGAAGGTGGCTTCAGGCACTCCTACGCTGCTTCCTTTACAAAGTGGTAGAAAAGGCCAGGAAGAGCAAGAAGGAGGGCGAGGCCAATTGTACTCTCTGGGCCGCTGGCTGTCCGGGCGGAGCCGCCGCTCAGGTACAGCGCATTGTGGCAGGATCTTAGGAGCCTCTCGATGGGCTCCAGACCCAGAGCACCCTCCTCTCACAGTCCCCAATCCCTTCCTAACCCGCTTGACCCGGCTCAGCCCCAGGGAGTTTGCAGCAGCTCTTTCCAAGAGAGTCCAGCCATCTGTTTCTCCCCTCCCTTTGGAAGACACCATCCTTTCAGGCACTCCAGAGAGTGCTGAGTGTGCTGGGAGTGCTCTGGCCCCAGTGATGACCACCTCCTGGAGATCTTCAGCTAACCCCAGGTAAGGCCTTTGCTATGAGCTCACTGGGGCCCCTCCAACTCCGTCTTTTGTCTGGTGCATGGATGAGGCCACTGCCCAGAGAAAGGCTTTTCCTGGGCAATGGTCACAGTTTTGGGGACCCCACCCAGGACCCAGGGAGACACCTTCCTCTCTATTCTGTCATAGCTGCCAGCTGCCTAAGGAAGGACTTGCTTTCTGGCCCCACCCTGGAAGAGGAGGAGCTGCCCTCAAGAAGAGGAGGAAGAGGAGGAGGAGGGGAACTGGACATGTCTGAGGCACTGTCCTGCCCTGGCGAGGAGACTCCTGGCTCAGGCTGCAGGCTGGGGGCCCTGTACTGGGCCTGTGCCCACAATGACCCTGTCCAGCTTCAAGCCGTGCTGGATGCCGGGGTGTCCCCAGAGGAAGCCACCCAAGTGGACAGAAATGGGAGGGTGAGGTGCCTGGGGTTTCCCAGGCAGCTGGGGCAGGTCTGTCTCCTCACCAGTCTGGGCCTGGCTCCAGGATTAGTCCACACTGCCTGGGTCCTTAGAAGGAAAGGGTGGGTGAGGGTGGTTTTTATGGATACTGGAACTTGCCCTGGGACAGGGGTGGGTTTAGAGATCCCTAGGGAGACCCTGAAAGAAGGTAGGGACTGAGCTGGCCCCACCCCCAGACAGGCCTCATGGTTGCATGCTACCGAGGCTTCGAGAGTGTGGTAGCCCTGCTCAGCCACTGTCCTTTCCTGGATGTGAACCAGCAGGACAAAGACGGAGACACAGCCCTCATGCTAGCTGTCCAGGCAGGTGAGAGTCTGCCAACCCTCATCCTCCACCATTCATAAGAACCACAGCCCTGACTGCCTAAGTTCCTCCATGCCAGGCTCTGCAGTGTCAGGCGCAGGGTGGGTTAGGAATTCCATCATCCACTTTCTCAGGGAGCCAAATTCTGTCCCCTCCCCTATACACAGGCCACATGCCTCTGGTGCGTCTCCTGGTCAACTACTTCTCCGGCCTGGATCTGGAGCGCCGGGACCAGCGAGGGCTCACAGCACTGATGAAGGCTGCCATACGGGACCGCTCTGAGTGTGTGGCCGCTCTCCTCATGGCAGGTACATGGGGCCAGGACTGAATGTGTGACCTCTGCTCTCACTGCCGAGCTTGCCCACACACACTAAGTCAGTTCTCACTTATTGTAGGGAGGGGGAGAGGTGGATGTGGAGGTTCAGGCCAGACTGGCTTCCTGGAAGAGGGGTCATATCTCAGGTTTCTCACCATCAGCAAGGTTAATAGTTCTGTCTCTGGAGGGCCTAGAAAGGCAAATTTGGAAGAGTAGCTCAGAGCATCTGTGAAGCTGAACACAAAGGAGTGCTGGTATTTGGAACAAGACTCTTGAGTTCTAGTCCTGGCCTCACCTCTGGCTGAGGGACCCTGCACACATGGTCACCACATACTGAGGAGTGTTGGCCTTCTCTGTAATGACCTACAGCTCTGAGCTCTAGCTAGGCCTTCAGAGGACACCATGATGTGTGGGTGAGATTTGCACCCTCAGGGATTATTCAGAGCAGGAACCACACTATTGCCCCCCACTTTTTGTTATTGTTTGGTTTTTGGTGCTGAGGACTAAACCCAGGGCTTCCAGCTTGCTAGGCAAATCCCCAGCCCCAAGGGGACCACACTGTTGAACCATGTAGAACCTCATTATTCCACAGGGTGGGCTGCACTCCACAGGATCTCAACCTCCAGCTGTCCCTTCCCCACCCAACTGGATTTGGGATGAGAAGGGAAGGAGTCCACACTCCTCCCTTGTCTCACAGTGACTGCCCCTGCCACAGGTGACAAAGAGATAAACCAGGGGAGGGGACCAGCAGACTCCTTTCCCGCACTTGGCAACCAGGCACAGGTCTTCCACTCCTCTGCCAGCTCCTGACCCCTACTCTGGTTGGAGTTGGAGACCCACAGGAGGCTCTTGCAATCTCTCCCCAGCTGGATGTCAAACTCTTCCTCTCTGGTCAACAGGAAGATGCACTGCCAGCCTCCATCCCACGTTGGGACTCTGGGATTGGAATCTAACCAAAGCCTGTCCTCTTGCTACAGTTAATCTACCCCTTCCCAAATCTACCCTCGCTGCTCTGTGCTCCCTCCAGGTGCTGATCTGACCTCTGTGGATCCTGTCAGGGGCAAAACAGCCCTGGAGTGGGCCCTGTTGACTGACAGCTTCGACGTGGTGCGGCGGATCAGACGGCTGCTGCAGCGGCCCTGTGCAGAACAACTCAGCCAACATTACCAGCTGGAGTGGCCGGCCTTGCCCAGGCTTGTGGCCCAGGCCCAGGCCCAGGCTACCCCATCCTTCTTAGAAAGGTTGCAGGCCACCCTGAGTGTGTCCTTTGCTCAGTGTCCTCAGGAGGGAGGCGTCCTGGACCACTTTGTGACCATCACTACCAGCCTGGCTAGTCCCTTCCTCGCCACTGCCTGCCGCAGTGTGTGCCCTGACCACCCTCCCTCACTGGGCACCCGAAGCAAATCTGTGCCAGAGCTGCTAGGTACTGCCCCACCTCCTCCTCTGTCTCCCCAACCCTCCCAAGTGGTCTCTGGCTCCCAAGAATTTGTCCCCTACAGTCCTCGGGGCATGTTCTCTCAGTGGCTACAGCCCAGGTATAGTACCAGCAGCCCAGTACCCAAGATCTCCCTCTCCAAGGCACCTTCACGCCCCAGCCAGTTCAAGCTGATGCTGTCCAGGCATGAAGGGCATCAGAGCCTTGCCCTCCCTCTCTGGCGATACCAGGAGCTCAGGATGGAGAGAAAGAGACAAGAAGAGGAGGCCAGGAGGGCGCAGAATTAGAGGAAGACAAGCTAGGCCAGGCTGGGGGCAAGTAATCAGGCCCTTTCCAGGCTCCTTTCCTTTCCTCCCACCTCTGCCTAAGTGAGCCTGTTTCCAACCTGTGTACACTGTTATTCAGCACAGCACTGCTTACAACTTTGGCAGAGTAGAGCCTACCGTGTGTCTGTCAATGGGAAAGTTGGCATAAGCGACTGGGGCGTCATCATTGCACACTCATAAATCCTGTTCTATGCAGTGCATTGTGAAGCAAGAATAAGAACTGGGTACAGTGGTAAACTGTAATCCTAGCTACTCACAAGGCTAGGGCAGGAGGATCACAAGTTTGAGCCTAGTCCAGGCAGCTTAACAAGATCTTGTCTCAAAAAAAAAAAAAAAAAAAAAAGGATCTGGGGTTGAACTTAGTCATAGAGATCCTAGGTTGTATTCCTAGTACTGTAAGAATAAGGATGCTTGGAGCCGGGGAGATGGCTCAGTAGAATAAATGCCTCCCTGGCAAGCACAAGGGCCTGAGTTCAATCCCCAGTTCCGCCAAAAAAAAAAAAAAAAGCACTGAAAGAATAAATATGCTGTTTATAATTCTTTTTTTTTTTTTTTTTTTTTTTTTTTTTTTTTTTTTTTTTTTTTGGCAGAACCGCAGATTGAACTCAGGCCCTTGTGCTTGCCAGGCAAGTGCTTATTCTATTGTGCCATCTCCCTGGCTTTATAATTCTGTTGTGAAACTATGAATGTACAAAAAATGTACAAAATGGGCCGGGGAGATGGTTCAATGGAATAAGTGCTTCCCTGGCAAGCTCAAGGGCCTGAGTTCAATCCCCAGTTCCGCCAAAAAAAAAAAGTACAAAACAAAAAAAGCTGAGTGGTAGACATGATACTATTTATGAAAATCAAATCTTCACAAAAATAAACACAATTGATGAAAATACATAGTGAATACCAAGATTTATTGAGCTACTTAATGAGCAAACCAGCAGGTTGAGCAAAGGAAGAAATGAAAGAACATTACTGACAGTAGAAAAAAGAATGCTGGGATAAGATTGTGAAGTTATTTTTTTAAAAAAAGTGAATTTTAAAAAAAGTAAATTCCCACTTAGCAATGAAAACTATAACTTTTTTTTTCTATTAAGCAAAAATAATTTTTAGTGTGGGAGGTTGAATGAGTTTGACTTTTGCCTCTTGTGCAGGTAAAACTTCCTAACAGATTTCTCTTTTTTTTCTTTGCGGAACCGGGGATTGAACTCAGGCCCTTGTACTTGCCAGGCAAGCACTTATTCTACTGAGCTATTCAAGCTTTAATCAACAGTATGTTAGCCAGTAGTGATGGCACGTGCCTGTAGTACCAGCTATTCAGGAGGCTGAGCTAGGAGAATCTCTTGAGCCCATGCCTTGGAGACCAGCCAGAGCAACAGAATAAGAACTCATCTCAATAACAACAACAAAAGGTTACAATATGCTAAACAAGGGCTGGCCAAATAGTTCAGTGAATTAAAGCGCTAGCACCTGCAAGCAGGCTCAGGGGCCAAGGGTTGGTCCCTGGGCCTGCTGTGCCGGCCCCACCCCTGAGGCGTGCTGAGATGGCCAATGGGACTGGGTGTGGTGGCACGGGCCTGTAATCCCAGCACTTGGCAGATATATATAGATATCTATCTATCATCTATCTATCTATCTATCATCTATCTATCTATCTATCTATCTATCTATCTATCTATCTATAAATTACTTTTCCTGAGGTGACCTGTAGGTGGGGTCATTAGGCAGTGATCCAAAATATCCTTAAAGGGACACAATAAATTTGGGATTTTTTTTTTATCCAAATCTAATTTTATTGGGGCAATGGGCCTCAGGGTGGGCTGGGGGCCATCACTGCACAGCTTGTTCATTGGCGCTGCCACCAGAGTCCTGAGGCTTCATCACATCTGGAAGCCCTGGAGGGCTAGAGAAGGGCTCCAAGCGCAGGGCCCCCAAGGTGCCATCTGCCCCGAAGGCCAGCCCCGCCGTGGCTGGGGCCTGTGCCTTGCTGTCTGGCTGGTAAAGCCACACTCTCCCAGTGTTCTGCCACCTCTAGAAGCTGGTCATCCTTGTACAACCTATGCTCGTTGGGCGGCCGCTTGAGAATGCCCTCGACGATGTGCTTCAGCTCGAACACGGAGCTGGACTCCTCGGCGTCCATGAAGATGGTGGTCTTGTGGCGCCAGATCATGAGGAACGCATCCTAGTGGCGACCTGCCAGCGTCAGTGCCCGAAGGCCCTGCCCAGCCCTGCCCGGCTGCCCCTGGGATTTTTTTATTTACACATTTTGGATTTTTTTTCCCATAATTTTATTGAGAGACAAATAGCAATGAGACAGTTTCAAATCAAATCGGTATGACAGTTTCAACAATTAACACATTGCATACTCTCTTCCTAGTGGTTATTTATTGTACAAGATGCAGACATGGTATCCTATTTACAAACACTATTAGAACAAATCCCTCTATTCATTAAGAGAATATAACTATATATCTATTCTAACCATTTTGAATACACAGACACAAAATGGACATTCATCTGTATCCCCTTTTTTGTTTAGCTTCGTCATTTGAATATTATAGGTGTGTTAACTCAGCAAAATATTCTAAAAGAGTTCAGTAGTCCATAATACTATTGGGTCTTCCTCTTGACTGGCAGTGTCAGAAATTGTTGACCTGAGTCCCCTACAGCTCAACATAACACCATGACTTTACTTCTTTTATTTTTTTAATTATTATTATTATTTTTTTTATTTGTGTGTGTGTGTGGCCAGCTCAGCCCTGGTGGGGGCGGCCCTCTTCTTCCTCTTCCTCCTCTTCTTCCTCCTCTTCTTCCTCCTCTTCTTCTTCCTCTTCTTCCTCTTCTTCCTCTTCTTCCTCTTCTTCCTCCTCTTCCTCCTCTTCTTCCTCCTCTTCCTCCTCTTCTTCCTCCTCTTCTTCCTCTTCTTCCTCTTCTTCTTCCTCTTCCTCTTCTTCCAGAACTGGGGATTGAACTCAGGTCCTTGCACTTGCCAGGGAAGCGCTTATTCTACTGAGCCATCTCCCCGGCCTGTTGCTGATAATCTTGACAGCTATAAGTAGGTTTTTTTTTTTATTGTATTTGGCATAGGGTCTCACTACACAGCTCAGACTCAGTAGTGATTCTCTTGTTTTCAGCCTCCCCTGGTCTCAGTGAACAGCTCAGCCTAACCGGAGCAGGGTTGGCAGGCATGTGGTGCCCAGAATCGAACCCTGGTCCCTGAAGCTTGCCTAGGCAGGTGCTTAGTCTGTTGAGCTATCTCACCCACCCAGCTTTAAGTACTTCTGATCAGGTATTTTATGACTGTCCCTTCACTGGGACTTGTGTGATGATTAGACTGGGGCAGCAGCAGTGGCGACCCTGTGGCACACATGGCATTTTTAAGACAAAAGATGTTAATGTATGACTTATTTTTTCTAAATTAAAACCTCAGTAGTCAGTGTTGGCACTTTGCAATAAATAAGTGTGTTTTGGGTTGCAGCATGGGCACTTATCTCTAAAAGGTTTGCCAACACTGGACTAGGGCTTTGGGTTTTCAGAAGAAAGACCACAGACGGAGGTCAAGCTAGCACCACACTATGCTAAGGATGCCTCCTTGGAACAAGACCTATCACTGTTGGTGTTGGCCACCCGGGTGGGGTACTGTTGTCAGCTTTCTCCGGTGAACTCACCCTTTCCCTGCTCCCTATCTTACTCTCTGGAGGAAAGTCACTATAGGAAACCCACATTCAAGGAGCGGAAGTCATGCCCTATTTCCTTGAAGGTAGAGTATTGGCATAATTACTTAGAATTCTGCGTTTTAACTTTTTATTTTTATTTATTTGTGTGTGTGTGTGTGTGTGTGTGTGTGTGTGGCCAGCTCAGCCCACCAGGGGGTGGGGCTGGCTGGCATGTGGTGCTGGGGGATTGAACCGCGGTTCCTGTGCTTTGCTGAGCTTGTTCTAAGTAGGTGCTTTGGCTTTAGCCGGCTGAGCCATCTCACCAGACCCTCTACTTTTTAACTTTGTAATCAGACAGTCTCAATTTAGAAAAATTAAAAAATATACCTTCTCTTTGAATAAAATAAAACACAAGCAGAGAGACAGAGAGAGAGAGAGACACAGAGAGAGAGAGAGAGAGAGAGAGAGAGAGAGAGAGAGAGACTGAGAGAGAGAGAGACAGAGACAGAGACAGAGAGAGAGAGAGTTAGAGTGGGATTTCTTCCAGAAATCCCAGACTGGCTCAAACGCACGGTGACCCTCTTGCTTCAGCTTCCCAAGTCCTGGGCCACAGGTATGTGCCACCAGGCCCAGCATCACTTTCTGATTTAATCTTCACACCTTTCCCATTATAGAGTTGAAGAAACTGAGGCTATGGAGGTTAAGCAGCTGGCCCAATGTCACCACCTGTTAAGTGGCTCTGTGGTGCTTGGAGCTCAAATCTGTGAGAAACCACAGCCCAGGTTGGTTCTACTGCAGTGTGTGGCCTCTTCTCAAAGCTGAGCTTCCTCTGATTCTTTGATCTCAGCCCTCCTGCCTTTCACCTGTTCAGGAATGACAGCAGCATGTGCAGGGCCCCCATGTCCTGAATGGCTAGATCAAGTAGGAGGCTGAAGACACAACCTTTTCCAGCAGAGGGAGCCTCCTACTCTTATCCCTGGCAGTCTCAGGACAGCTGGAGTATCCCTGGCAGTCTCAGGCCAGCTGGAGTCCCAGGCCTTTGCTAAAGAGCAAGAGGCAGGTTAGGCCTTGTGCCCCTCACGCACACACACTCAGGCCTGGAAGGCAAGCAGCAATATGTGGTCTCCCAATGGCTCCAGAATACTACTGTGGCAACCTTTCCAATGAAAAGACACAGCCCAGAAACCTCCTCAGACCTCTCTCTACCTCAGCCCAGGCATACTCCAGCCCGTCAGTGTCACCACAGCACTGCTGGCGGGGCAGGCTCTCCCTGGGGAGCAAGCATCCCCCTCCCACCTTGGCACATGGGCTCCTACAGTTAGGACCAGAGGTGCTGTTCTAACATATACTGGCATGTCAGCCAGGCTGTGGGGAGTCCCAGACAGGAACCACCTCTATATCCCTAGTACCTGGCCCATAACAGGTTTAAGAAATGTATACAGAACTGAGTTTAGGTTCCACTAAGGCCTGGAATACATAGAGGGGCCTCTCACCTGCCTCCTCCTTTCAGGAGCTGCCCTGGTACTAGGAGTGGCACAGCTCCTGGTAGCATCGGGGAATGCCTAGAAAACCCCTGTTGGGGACAGGGAAAGAAGCAAAGGAGTAGGTATGTGGAGGGAGGATAGAAGAATAGGTGGGGACTCATGGGTCTTCCCCTTTGCTCCATACTGGGGAACCAGGGCTAGCTTCTCTTCTCTCTGAAAGTCATACTTTCTAAATGACAGAAGATACCAAATCATCTCACACACCAGACACCAGGCTGGCCTGCTCCCCACCCTTGATCCCTTCTCTCTCTCTCTCTCTCTCTCTCTCTCTCTCTCTCTCTCTCTCTCTCACCAAGGATCCAACTCAGCACCTTGCGCTTGCTAGACAGTGCTTCTGCCACTGAACTATCTCCCCAGCC